TATTTACCTAGGCTCACCATAGTGTTTAGACAGCAATATATTAAAGCCATAGAAATTTAATAAATAAGATATATAAATAAATTATATATCAACGTAAGAAACTGTCTTGGTCCGTATGACAAGATATTACAGATAAAGTAGGTATTTCACTCCAGATGAATGGCACTGTTAAATTGGTTTTGAAAATGAAGTAAATTTATTTACTTACAACAACCACTATAAACTTAATATAAAAGATGTGACCTTGGAATATTTCATTAAAGTCTCTTGCATAACTAATTACACTTGTATTTATAAATGTTTAAGCAATGGTTAAATGCACAGTCATAATGACATGAGTCCATACCCTGTAGAAATTAGAACTCTTTTCTATTCACATACATTGTGAATCTAAGTGTTAAAAAGAGTTTGCCTCAGTTTCATGGTCTGGGGTTTTTTGTTTGTTTGCTTGGATTGATTGACTCGTGAAAGATCACCTCTACTCTTAGGCCACCATTTTGTCAGTTGTCAGTTCACTTGCGGGTTAAGTTTAACAACAACAACAAAAACTTGTGGAAAAAGCCTTCACACAGAATACAGCACTGTGTTTGTTATCCCTCGTTTTTCTCAGAGGACAGAAAATATAAAAATATCTCTGAATTTTCTAGTGAATGTTTGTGCTATGCAAGTCACTTGAGATTTTTGGAAAAAGAAAACTTTGCAGCCTTTAAATCCAAGTATTACCGCATCCACTGCTTGAAACAACTCCTGTGGCTCTAAGTTAATCACACTTAGATATCAAAAGGACCTTGAATTCACTTCTAATTTCAGATGTTTTTCATGCATCTCAAGAGGAGGTTCATGAGAATGATCCTACAGAAAACTGCTTATTTGTCATTATATCTTTACCATGTGAGTACTGATATGTCAAAGAAACAGCATAGTGAACATTTGAAGTGTTGGCACTTCTCGTAGACTTTCTATAGATGATGCATGTTACAGCTTCGTACTCGTAGTTCCTGTTTTTATTCCTTGCACTCTCCATCTGGATGCTTTCAGATTAATTGTTGGAAAAGTCCTCTCTTTGGAGGACATCCCCCACCACTGGGGGCCTGTTGCTGTTTCAGGTGTTCTGCACCTGCTCTTTCTCCACCCCTCACATCACAAGTAACCCAGTCCTTTGGCAATGATTAATTTAAACGGCATAAAGTCTCTTTTCTGCCAAAGAGATTCAATAAATATAGTTATGCTTTCATTACCATAGTCTCTGGCCATCTGAAAATATTTTGTGTAGCTGACAGAAATGATCCAAAATTCCCATTCCCTTGAACTAACAAATGGAAAGGTGGCCTTCAATAGAATGAAAAGGGATAGCTGCCAGATCCAGGTTTGGAGACTACCGTCTACTGTTCACAGGCACTGGGTCCAGAGTTGTGCTCTGAGAATGAAGATGACAGGGCTAAAGGAGGTAGCATCACCACTGAGCAGCTCTGGGAGATTCAGAGCAAATCACTTTCTCGACAAATCCAGTCCTCATTTCTACTCAAAGAGTACTTGAACTCTTTTTCATTTATGAAAATTTCCCACAAATTTTTACTCTGGTTAAGGGGGGGTGCAGCTCCAGCTCCCCAGACATCCATGTGAAGGCCCCGTTAAAGCATGTCATGGTTCCCTGGGGGCCCTTAGGTCCTGCTTACCCCCTGCTAAACTCACAGCAGAGGGGCAGGGCTGGCATATGCCCGCATCTCACCAGGGTCTTGGCATGCCACTGGCCCAGGAGGTATAACACTCGTGCAGCCTGGCAGTATTTACCATTCCTGTCTGGAATAATGACCAGTACTATCAGCTGGGGGAGCTTTTGTTCAAAATACTAGGCTCTGGCCAAACTCTGTTCCCATTGAAGACATCACAATCCCTCCCATTGACTTCACTATGGAAAGAGTTATGCTAGTGTCTTTTATTATTCCATCCTATGAGGAGTTTAAAATATTTTTTGCCATACAGTCACACGGAATAATTGTACCTGCAATGAAATCCCACTGGCAGGTATGGCTAAAGACTTTTCTGGCTTGTTTAGCCTTTCTAATGTAAGATTTCATTTGTGTATTTCCATAATGCTTATGTCTAACAAAATCCTTTCTGATGCAATAAGAGATTTTTTTCCATGCTAAATACTGAAGCAGGAAAATTTAAAATTTTAGTTACTGTGAGCAATTGTGCAGCTAAAATGTTAGTGTTTAAAAACAGAAATAGCAGTTAAGCGCAAGCAGGAAGAACTTGTGTTTAAGTCTCTGTGAACATTTGGGGGCTATGTTTTGTGGAGGATTTTCTATCTCTGGTTCCTTTCATTAGCAATTTTAAAATAAAGTACACATTACCTTTCATACGGTTTTCACTCACACCCTGACACGGATGCACAGCCAGAACACTTGTGTACCATACTGGTTAAAGATGTCTGCCCAGAATATAATAGTATAAAATACTTTGTATAAAATGTAAAACGGCTGACCTATAAAGATGTTTGATTTAGTTGTCTTCTAATATTGAGCCTGACTGTACTTCCTAAAAAGATGATGAAAGGATGTGGAGTAATTGAGATTTAATGGCATTGCTCCTTCAACAAGCTTAAACGTATGGTCTGTAACCAGCCTCTACACTGAGATGGCCATTAAATCTGTAAATTTTGTCCCTTCAACATATGCAAACAGCTCAGTATAACTGGAATAATTTTATATTAACTGTCTTTTTTTTAGAAAAACCATTAAGCTATATGCTCTTTGGCCCTGAATATCGTGGAATTACTTTGATGAGAACAAACTGACACATTTTTGTATGGTGCTGAGATCACTTTCAATGGGTGATGGAAAACAAAACTGTGTGTCCTGAGGCATATCACAGTATTTGCTTACTATAATTACAATAAGTTTTACTGTTTTTCATGCTACACTTTCACATGAGTAGTACTACTGTGAAATTTTAGTTAATTTTCATTTGTTGCTATCTTAATTGTTACAGAGTGCTCTGATATGTGAAGATATAAGAAGGTGTGTAACAAAAACATGCTCAATGTACTCCTTCAATAATTTCTTTGTTGTTTGAAAACTTCCAACTTACAGCAAAGCTGGCATTTTATGGCCTGCAGAGCTATAAATCATTTTTAAAATCATGATGATATTACTCAAAGCAGATGTGAAAACATATGTTTGCCATGGTTGTATAAACCGCTTACTTGTCATACTTAATAAATGTTGATACTTTTATTTTAACTACATTCCTTCTTAATAACTTTGAAAATCTTTTCCATGGTAAATATATTTTGCCTTAGTAAAAATAATGGCAGGTTTTGAAAAACAAAGCTTGTTCTGTATACAAATTATATGGATATTTTCTGCTGAGCAACCCAGCAGACATTATACTCTTCAGTGACTGTCCACATCTGAATATGAAAATTGTTCAACATATTTGAGGTGCAACAGAGCCCAAAGTGATTATACAGAGGAGAATTTGTTACTACTGTTAGGAACAAAAAATGTATTTTGGACTGATAAAGATCACAGAGGAATAATAACAACTTGTATGGGGTGACAGGCTAAGGATTTTCAGAAGCAGAATAATGACTGTATCTTTCTGGCGCAGTTCATCATTAGAGGGTGCTTGCACCCTGTAAACCAGAGGCTCCTAAAGGAGATGAAATATAGGTCTACCTCACTGCTTAATGTGAACTCACCTTGAAATTGTTGGATATAAGCTATAGAAGGATATATGCTGTTGATGCTTTTAAAATTTCAGCATCCGTCCCATGATAATGCAGTCATAAGATGCCCAATAAGGTGGTCATCCTTTCCATGAATATGCCCAAATAATTTTTTAGAACTCTGGAACCACAGTGCACATGGAGTCTTCAATTTATTTTTTTTTTTTAGTAGCTCATACAATTGCTTATGGTTATAGTAAATTGCATTTAAGTTCGCTCAGAAAATAAACACAGAGAGTGCAATCATAAGCCTAAGGATTTGAGTTTGTCTGATTTTTTTAGATAATCTAAAATTCCCTCAGCCAAAATAAAAATCAGTTTGCATTTTCATTTATGATAAAATGTTCCTATTTTCAGTAGACTTCTAAGTACATTTAGCTTATGTTGTCTCCTCTTTTGGACACTTTCTTCTCTTACTTTTCTTTCCCATCTTTTGCCTTAAAATCTAAATAACTTCCTTGGTATATGCTTTGGAAGCATATTTTCTAGTATTCACTTCACACTTACCTTCAGCTTTCCTTCATTTCTTCAGCTTTATGTCATCTTGTTTTTGCAGACACTCAGTTTGTCTGGTGCTCTCTGTATGTACTGCCAGAATAAACTTTGTCTACTAATACGAATGATTTATTTTTTTTTGTATTTCTAAGGAAACAAAATGCCTTCTTCCTCCTCTACATGCAGCTGCAGATGCCACATCTCTGTCTGCGACTGTGACACCTCCCCAGGGCTTACCTGCATACACCAACATACTCATTTTCACCAGCACCCAACAATCAGAGCAAGGAGAAATGAGCAGAGGAGGCACTTCCCTGCCTACCAGACAAACTCTACAGATCAAGCTTCACCTCCTCCCTTGCTGCCTCTCACTTGTGAGTTGATGTAATATTACGAGACGTGAAAAATGTCTAATATTTCTCTCACCTACGTACCAGCATTAGAGTAGCCTGTACACACATCCACTGGAGGAAAAGAAACAACACTATGTGACTAATCAAATAGTTGCTAGGGACTTCATAAATAATTGAGTCAAAAGACCAGCAAGGTATTACTCCCATATGGTCTAAACAGAGGGAAGCAAAGATATGATTGTTAACACTTCCTAAGAAGAATGTGATCTAAATTCACCAGATACGTTATTCATTGCAATTAGGCACGTAGTTTTCTTAGATTTATGCTATTACGTCATTGCATATGCAGAATACTAGAGAAAGGAATACAACATGTAAGTGCAATTAAATGCCTGAGACAGAAAACAGTTTAATTTTACCTTTCTCCTTTTGCATTTTTTTTAGGCTTGTCCCGGTTTCTTGATCAATGAGTTCTCCTTCCCTGCTGTTGGTCAACATAGCTAAAAAAATCAGAGTGCACAGCTATATAACACTGTCAGTAAAGAAATGTCAGAAAAGAGGAAAATATTAAATTATACCTTTTTGTCAATAGTTTGATATTTTAACATTTATTTATACTGTATAATTTCTAAAGCAACTGACCATTTTCACTGTCCATAAATCTCCTAATTCAGCAGTTAGAGCCAAATATGTAGCAAAAGCTCAAGTTCATAAAAAAAGAAAAGATACCAGGACGGAACTAAAATTATTACTGTGAGGAATCTGATTTCTTATAAAATGTTCAGAAATAATTGTGGGGAAAAATGCATTTAGTAAAACAAAATATTTAGGTTTTAGCAAGTACCTATAAAGCAGCAAGCTTAATAAATAAATACAGATACAGAGATAGTAACCCACAGATGAACTGGAAAAGAAAAAACATACTCTACTCTGTGGTGCTAAAAATTTCCTCACTTAAAATTTTCAAAATCAAAGAGACATTAAGTTTATGATTTCAGGATGCTTATTTTCTTTGTTCTTATTTGATTAAAACATTTACTTTTTGGCAATTACAGAATTTAAAGCCATTCCAGTGAGGAGAATTGTCAAAAAATTGCAAAAATTGTAAGAGTAAAAAAAGCCACATATGTATATGAAGTAGATGTACATATCTCTATAACAATAAGCTTTAGACTTCAATATAGAGAAACTTGTGGTTCAACATAAATAAAATCTAGCTTTCTTTAAAAAAACTTCTTGCACTATTTCTGGAGCTCAGAGGATTGCAGTATGTGCTGCTACTTTTAATATAACAAGTTACAGTAGCTTTCAAAAGCTACAATAAGGTAAAAAAGTTCCTTTTTCATTGTTGCTAAGGAAAGTTACATTTCTTGTCCTGTGTATTTCTAGCCCTATTTTAAATACATGTAAGCTGAGGGGAATCTACTTTCTAGTCCTTGCCCTGAGTATGCGTATGTTAAGGAAAATAGCTCAGTCTCTATTAACTAGATTTTGTGTATTGCCGACTGTGCTATGTAGTGCAATGTTGCTGTATCATGGACCACAGTCAAAATTCCCAAATCCCAGCAAGCAGCTGAGTAGCCATTTGATAGGAGAGAAGACTACAATGACTTCCATGAGCTGCACTGTTTTTGCAGTTTAAATCTAGCTCAGCAATGCCTGCATGGGCAGCAGTCACTGTGAAGACAACAGTGTTGACGTACACTGACATGAAAAGATGTTAATGGACTTGCCCTAGATCCCTCCTGGAAGCACCAAGAATAGGATCCAAACTTCCTCCAATCCAAATTTGCATTTTAAACACAAGATCAATAATGCACAGACTGTGAAAACTGTTGTTGAGAGACCAAAAAAAAAATCAAAAAGCTCTCACCTTCATTGCAATGAGGAAACATCTGGACAAGAGGAGGTTTTTGGAGTGGAAAACTCATTATATAATCTGAGAGTTTTCTGACATACATTCAAATTAAAACATTTCTTGTTCTTTTTCAACTCCAGGTGCTTTCAGAGGCACTTTCTCATGCCAGCATGCAAGATTTAGTCAGTCATACCATAGAAGGCACAGAATGAGTCTGAGGGGCTGGTCTACGCATAGTGATGAACCTAATTAAACAAATTGTAGCAATGAACTTTCTGGCTATTGGGGGGGTAGCGTTTGGTTGGTCCTTTGTTCTTTTAATAAAGCAAGGGCTTTCCTGAGATTCCCAGTAAATAAATATTTGCTTCAAAAACCTGATAAAATTCTTAAGGTCAGTAGTTGTCAAGGGGTGTGAGGCTGCAAAGCACTAACCAATTCTGTCTGGGGTGTTGTCCAGCTGGGAGGGTGAGCTGGACACGCTGCTGCTCTGATGGGAGGAAGCGTGGCTCCCAGGCCGCTGACTGTCTTCTAGAGATGGAGCTGGAGAAGGGCTGTCTTGAATCCTTTCCTTGAAACAGAAATAAGACAAGGTCTGTGCAATTTGATTAATGAGCATCAGTGCAGTTCAATCAGAAAATGAAAGTGGCTGAAATAGCAATAACAAATAGTCTTTCCAAGATAAACAGTGAACAGAATTCACATCAAAAGGGCAGTACAGCCTTTTATACTCAAAAGCAGTGGAGTCTTCTACATGCAATGCATCTAGGCACAGTTTTTCATCCTTAGTGTCATGACACAGCACTTAACACCTTTTTTTCCTTGATAAATCTTTATTTTCTAACTTTTTCACACATAGGAATATAAAGCATGTTTTTACATGCAGTTTGTAGAAACTAATTTTTATTTACAGATAGTGCATGTAGGCATGTATGAGTTACATTTCAAATAAACAACTCAGATTTGGATTAACTGGCACAAAACACCGTCAAATTTGTAAGCTCACAAGAAAAACTACTTCTGTGCCTGAAACATTGCATCGTCTTCTCAGGGTAGCATGCAGACCAATTTTAAAAGTTATGGTACTGGTAAGACAAATTCACTTTTGGATGGAATGCATCACTTGCTAACAAAAACAAGACTGTGCTTGCAAATTCTTATGTGCATATTTGCACACAAAATCCTGAGATTAGCTTCTAATTTAAATATACCTAGTACTTTAGGGAAAAGAGAAAAAAGAAGTATGAAATTGTAAAATTTAGCAAAATTAAATTCTTCAGATCTGTGTATCTAAACTTGCAGATTGCCTGGAGATATGGAATTTCCACCAGGAAAAATCTTTAGGTTAGGCAAGCAATAATTCATCTTGTCTTGAGAAATGTGATTGATTATATGATCACTTGAGATCCTTTCCAACCCAGTGATTCCTCATGCATTATTCTTTCTGAATTGATTCAAAATTCTAGTCCCCTTCATTCCTTTTCCCAGGACCAATAAAACAATATGAGAATTTTCTAAAAGGGGCAGATCATGGCCTGAGATGCTCTAGGATTTTAAAATCTCTTCTCTATGTTTTAAATCGTCTGTTGCAGCTAATGAAGTTCTTAAAGGCTATAATTCCACTGGAGAGACACTAACAAGTAGATGTTTAATTTACAGAAGTCCAGAAACTGCATCTTTGCAGTTGCCCTCATCTCGTCATCTATGCCAGTCAGCTGTTCCCTGTAGAAACCTGTGGAAACACAGGACCGAAATATTACTCCTCCCTTTTTTTTTAAAGGGAGATCCTCTGCCTCCACCTCATTAAAAATCACAACTTCAGGGTAATCTGGGGAAGCTGTCTCAAAGGAATCTTGCAAATTTTCTTTCTTTCTAACCTACTCTGAAAGATTTTTCTTTAAGAAGTATGTGTTCTGGCTATTTGGTGGCAATTTTCCATGTGTTTTTGAAAATAAGCTGAACAGCATCCCAATTTTTAGTGCAGTTTTTGCTAGACTATGCTAAATCAATAACACAGCTTTAGGAACAGAACACTAGATTCTAATAGTTTATCCATTATAAATAACCAGCATAATAGCTTCTGCTAACAACCTATCTAAGAAATTCATTAATAACACTTGCAGTAAGATCAACTTTTTAAGAATATCCTGTTACCCATTAAAGCCATCTCTCTAAAACACACCCAACTCATATTTACAGACTCATTTGAGAATGATGCAAAGGGAATATGAGAACAGATCCTCCTAATAGCAAGGGGTTTTATTTGTCTATTCCAATCACACCAGCCAAAAACGTAGCATTGAATGTGTCTTTAATAGGATAGTTATTGTACATTAAATAACAACTGAGCCTCAAAATCATGTAACAGATGTGTATCTATTACATAGCTGTTAATCCTCAATGGATTCTTCAATTATCTGTTATTTAATGAACACACAATAACTAATAAATCTTACAGGAACACTTTTAATTGCAGTATTTTTTAGTGCTAATTAAAAAAGGTTAGTAAGTTTTAAAAAATGAATCTACTATGTTGAGTCAGAAGATCTTGAAGTTTTTAAAAATGAATGATTTTAAATAAATTCTCAAATTCTGGGGAAAAAAAAAAGTTTAAGCTACTGATCTTCAAATGGCCATTATTTTTTTCTTCATCTCAAAAGACTGATTTTAAAGATTGCTGAGATGAGCAGAAGAATAAAAAAGAGTTGCGACTTATTCTGGGGATGGTCGGTTTAGTAAACCACGTTTATAGTGGTTTACTAAACACCAAAAATATTCTTCCATTTATATGAATAATAATTTATATACAACTGATGTCATCTACTTCATCTTGTTTGATGCTGTCCCACACAACTTCCTTGTCTCTATATTGGAGAGACGGATTTTATGGATGTACCACTCCATGGATTAGGAATTGGCTGGATGGTTGCATTCAAAAAGTTTTGCAGGCAACAGCTCTGTGTTCAGGTGGAGACCTGTGACAAGTGGTCAGGAGTCCTCAGGAGTCAGTATTGAGACTGATATTTAAGGTCTTTGTTGGTGACATGGACAGTGGTATTGAGTGCAACCTCAGCAAGTTTGCTGACAACACGAAGCTGTGTGGTGCAGTCAACACTCTGGAGGGAAGGAATTGCATCCAGAGGGATCTTGACAGGTTTAAGAGGTGGGCCTGTGCAAACATCATGAAGTTTGGCAAGGCTAAGTGCGAGGTCCTGCATCTGGGTGGGGGCAATCTCAAGCACTAGTACAGGCTGGGTAATGAGTGGATTGAGAGCAGCCCCAAGGAGGACTTGGGGGTGTTGGTGGATGAAAATCTCAGTGTGAGATGGCAGCAGGTACTTGCAGCCCAGAAAGCCAGCCATATCCAAGGCTGTCCATCAAAAGAAGTGCAGCCAGTAGGCTGAAGAGGATGATTGTCTGCCTCTACTCTGCTCTTGTGAGATGCTACCTGGAATGCTCTCCTCAGCTCTAGGGCCCTAAGCATAAAAGAACATGTAGCTGTTGGAGTGAGTCCACAGCAGGGTCACAAAAATGACAAGAGGGTTGGATTATCTCTCCTATGATGACACATTGAAAGAATTGGGGTTGTTCAGCCTAGAAAAGAAAAGGTTCAGGAGGCCTTACAGCAGCCTTCCTGTACTTAAGAAGGGCCTACGAGAAAGATGGGGAGGGATGCTTCATCAGGGTGTGTAGCAATAGGTAATGGTTTTAAACTAAGAGGGCAGATTTAGATCAGACATTGGACAGAAAGTCTTTACTATGAGGGTGGTGAGGCACTGGAGCAGACTGCCCAGAGAAGCTGTGGATACCCCATCCCTGGAAGTGTTTAAGGCCAGGCTGGATGGGGCCTTGGGCAACCCGGTCCAGTGGGAGGTGTCCTGCCCATGGGCAGGGGGGTTGGAAGTGGGTGGTCTTTAAGGTCCTTTCCAACCCAAAAGTACAGTATGTACTGTACTTTATATTTGTGTAAATAATAGCTTTGTGTAAATAATAGGTTACAGCTAACAGGCTACCACTCTGACTGTAATTTGTCTGGATTTTAGTTTTAACAGTTCTCTTTGGCACTACTTATTCCCTTTTTATCACAAAGAGTACTCAGTATACAATTATATACAATTTTGAAATTATTAATTTTACAGAAGAGTGCATAGTTTAGGTAAACTTCATTGTCTATTGCAACCATGAAAATGAATAGCCAAGGAGAGGACATGCCAACTGTTCTGCAAAAAAAAAAAAAACCAACAAAAAAACCACAACACAACAACTATGAACAAATATGACGATGAATTAACACTTGGATATCACACAAACAGACATATGTGTCACCTTAAATGGGAGTTATTTGAGTAATTCAAAAGCTGATGATTTGGAAAAGCAAAGTATTCAAGCTCCTTCTGGTAACTGTACTTCCCATTGTCTCTTGCTATAAAATAATCTCTTCAAGTAATTTGCCTTCAAACTCAGGGTCTTAGTTTGAAATGTTCAGGCAGAAATAAATGTGTCAAATAATAATGTCATTCTTAATCACACAGTGAATCATTTTCTAAGAGAATTAGTTGATTATGTCATCTAACGTCTTTCTGGTTACAAAAATTTACATATACAGGGAAGATGTACCTTTCCCTATAGATAACAAAGGAGCTGGAATTTTCCCTATATTTTATGTACCACAAATAATGATAGAGTACTGTCATGTAAGACTGCATGTGGATAGAGAAACTGTCTATTTCTAAATGTTTGTGTGGAAATGTAATGCAGAATTTCCTCTACTATAATGAATAACACCATGAACAGATTCTTTTTTTTGCAAGTAAACAGATCCATTTTTCAGTCCTGTAATCAGTATGCATCTATTTAGCTACTTAACAGCAATGTGCTCTGGTTCATTAGGTAGCTACTGTTGTGTCTCAGCCTAGTTAAAATTTCACAGCAAGTTAATCTATTTTATTACAAATGAGAACACAAGTGATAATGTCCTCACCATTTTCCAAACACAGGGTTAACAGTATTTGTAACAAATCAATGAGGGCATTTAAATAGGAAAATTGCAAATCTAAAACCTTAACATTTTTTACACATTGATGGCTTCATTTTATTTGTCATTTATATATTTTACAACCTTGTTACTTTTCATATATTTTATTTTTTTCTTCTTGAAATAGCTCAGTTCCCACTGGCACACTGCAGTGCAGCTTGGTTCTGCAGTAAGTACACTTACAGTAATAGAGAAATATTTCTAAATAAAGTAATATTTTCTCCATTTGAATTTCTTCATATTTTATAAATCTGCAAGATTCATAATCCATGTTACAATGTAATGAATTATATATATATAATTTACAGATTGTGAGAATTTTATGAAAAATGAAAACATTTCTCAAGATCTCACCTATTTATCTAACTATAGTACCTACTTCATCTTATCTTTTCTCTTCCCTTTACAGAGCTGTACCATAAATTCTCAAAAAAGACTTTTGCAGTATTTAATCCTTTTGAAGGGTAATATATTTCTGTCTTACTAAAGAATGGTGTCTTGCTTTAGCTTAGAAAATGTAGCTACAAAGCCTGACA